CTGATAGGGCATATCCTAATAATTCACAAATTTAATAGACCCAACAATCTTTTCATGAGACATTCAAATTTTCTGAAATTTTGATTCGTATAGTTTCCACGACCAATTTTTTTTGCCATATTAAACCACAAAAATTCTGCCTATTTACATTGTTTTGCATGCCCTAGTTCTCCTTACATTTTGCCATAATCTTGTACCCAAGAACTAATTTCGAGCATCCTGATCTGGTATGCCCTTGTTTGTCATATATATTCCTTGTAGGTTCTGATTCAGAAAGAAGCAGGCGCTTTGAGGAGCATAGACGGGCCCACTACGATGAATATAAACGCGTGAAACTCCTTCGGAAGGGCTCCCTTGGCATGGAAGACGAATCTGATGAAGAGAGCAGTCATGCAGTGGAGAAGAACTACGATGGAGGGGCTGGTTGTTCATCATCCACAGTAACAGCTGCAGGCGTTAAGGACATGGAAACTGGAGAAGAAGAAGAAGGGGCGCCTAAACAGTCTTCTTCTTCTTCTTCTTCTTCTTCTTCTGCACCAACTGATGGAGCTTAGAAGAAGCTCATCCCAGAACAACTATCTTCTGACATTATTAAAATTAGTTTTAATTGCATCAAAGTTATTTCGTATGTTTTTATAATATCATTCAGTGGGTTTTCCATTGTTGTTTTTTCACAAGTCTGAGAAAAAAAATATCCATTGAGAGTAAGAATGTATTCCCAAAGGTATTGCACTAAAGTGATAGTACTCTCTATGTTTCGTTCTTCTTTTCCAGTTTTCCTTTATGAAAAATGGTTTTTCTCCAAGGAATTGCTACTTAATTATGTTTATCCTTTAAGGTATTTTGTTTAGCTAAATAATGTTTCTACTCTCCCTTCCTACAACATGGCCGAAAACACCCTTATTATCTTCTAAAAAATGATTTATCCACACATATAACAGGAGCTAGTCACCCTCAGATGCCAAAAGAAGTGTTTGATTGAATAGTGACTACTTGTCATTCTATGATACAAAAGTCTTTGCCTTTATTCCTCACATAACTGAAATTTGCTCTTAGTAATCTTCTAAAAGTGAGTCATTTTACGCACAAAATGAAGACCAAATGATCTCCCACGTGTGTTGATTGAAAGTTCAAAGGAGAAAGTCCTTGAGTGAATAGTGACAGTTTGTCCTAATGTGCCGCAAAAATTCAAGTGTCCGTCGCCTCCTTGGACTACGGATGGGCGATGGGGACTTGACCATGGGACTGACGTCTATTAAAACCCTAATAAATGCAAAAGAGAAAATAAAAAATGGACAAGCCCTGAAGTCACAATCCCTTGCTATATATAGCTCTAAAATTATATTTATATCTCAAATTTGGGTAGAAACGCAGGGTGGAAGTAGATCCCTCAATATATACGATTAGCTGGAGAGACGAGGACGTACAATTTTGACTCCAAAGTCAAAATCAACTTGTGGGGTGCAATTGAAGGGGGTGGGGGTGTGTTCGGGGCGGGGCAGGTGGGGGGGTTTACCGGAGGGTTAGGGAGTAGAAACCGTCAATTTCTCGAACGGGGCACCGGAGCGCCCCGAGTCATCCCATGATATTGCTCGGCAATGTCATGGGAACCTTGGTATAAGCTTAATCCTTGAATTTTACTATAAGTTTTGGCATGGTGGTTGCTTGCGCGAATGATTTTTTGATTTTTTTTAAATCAAACAAATGAACTGTTTTTGAATTTATAAGAAAAAAATTGTTGTGAAACAAACCTAATTTGGCTTACATTCTCATGTGAGTGACACCGGGTCATGGCGGGGCATTAATGTGTTACACAAAGACTTTATTTTTTAAAGTGGTTATGCACCATCAAAATAAATTACTCTTTTTTTTCTTTAAAGTTGTCTTGGTCTCAAATTTCTTTAGGAATAAAATAAACTTTGAGATTAATGAGTGTTTTTATTACTTATTACTACAAAGTATTTCTTCCGTCTAAAATTTATCTTCTCATTTTGACTTTAGATGTAAATTAAAGAAAAGTAAAAAATGTGTTGACTTTTCATATTTATCTTTGGAACATTGTAAAATGTAAAATAAAGCGTAGGTGTATATAATAATTACTAGGTAAATGTGAGAGTAGTAATGTGTTATAAAGAAAAAATATTTACCAAAAAAAGAAATGAGAAGAGAGTTTATAGACAGATAAATAAGAAAAGTGAGAAAATAAATTATAAACGAAGAAAATATTATTTATGTTTTTATGCAACGTAAATTTAATTACGCTGAATATTATAAGAGCAAACGCAATGACATGTAATTCCTTTGCCATGTTTGCCAGCTCAATAATTTTTTCAACTTGCCTCGCATGGGTGATGCATTACTCTACGGTTAGCATGGCATGTGTGAGGCAATGGATTCCAATTTCTTTCTTTCTTTCTTTTTCATTTCTGCACAAAAAAAGTCTCTTTTTCTAAAGAGTACATTTATTTTTATCGAAAAAAATTTAAAATATTTTTTAATGATTAAAAAATGTTAAAAATTGTAGCGTAGCAATGCAAAGGCGTTCCACCTTGACTTTCGAGTTGCGAGGCATTACATAAGAGCATGAACAATGACAAGTAAAAAAAAATTGTCACACGTTGACATGGCATAAATCAACCAATAAAAAATGGTCCAGTCACAGAGTGGCAAGTGAGTAGAGTGGCACACGCTACAGTGGCAAGTCGTTACTTTTGTCACTTTTTAAAATTTTTGTAGTGTATTTTAATTATTAAAAATAATTTTTGCTATTTGTTTCATTACAAAAATACTTCTACTTCCTTAAAAAAAGAGTATTTTTTTCTCAAAAAAATTAAAAAATAAAAAGAAAAAAAGAAAAAGATGTGTGGGATGCCTTGGAGATGGCTTGCTCTCCGTGGTGAAATGGTTTGCCTCTCCATGCTAAGCATGGCAAATCATTTTTGGGAGCTGATGTTGCAAGCGTGGCAGGCATTTGCTTTGCCCGCTACCCATGCTCTAAGGAGTCTAAGGCCATCTGTTCTATGTTTTTTATCCTTTTTTTTCCAAATTTGTTTTTGTAAAACAAGGTTTTTTTAAAAATACTCCGTAACAATTATTATTCTTATTAAAAAAGAAAAATAATTTTTATTAGTTAAAATATACTCCGTATTAAAAAGAGTAAAAATGATAAAAAGAGTGACTTGCCACTGCAAGGCATCCAACTCTATTCATTTGCCACGCACTGACTAGACTGATTTTGATTGGCTAAAATACTTCACGTCATCATGTGTCATTTCATTTCTTACTTGTCATTATCCATGCTCTAAGTTTATGCGAATTTTTTACCTCAATATTATTAGGATTGGAGAACTATCATAATACTCACTCTGGTCTTAAAAATTCTTCTTATTTTGACTTTTTTGCTCAAATAATAACATTCTTTGATCAAAAATTGTGAGAAAAAATATATTGAATTATAATTTGAATTCAAATTAATTTGGTTCATTTTAGGATAAAGGTTTGATATATCAAATTTTATAATTTTTATTTATTTAGGTTATGTTTAATTTAATGTCAAAAAGTGTAACTATTTAACTAAGGGGCTGTTTGGCAACTTCTGAATGGGTAAGTGCTGAACCAGTAAGAGGTCTGAATCATTAAGTGCTGAACCAGTAAGAGGTCTGAACCATTAAGAGCTAGTATATTGTTTAACTATTCAGAGGCAAATGTCTGATCAATTCAGATAAGAGCTCTTAACCATTCAGACTCTGTATAATACTTAACCATTCAGAGGCAAATCTCTTAACCATTCAGACATCTGGACCATTAAGAGGCTGAAACAAACAGTCTGAACCATTAAGTGCTGAA